TTCACACTTCTAACCAGGGAAGTCCGCCAACTTACCATGGAACTTTGAATGGAGACCTGGGTAGATCGATAGAGTCTATAAGGTTATTTAGCAAAACTGCAACCTGCATTTCACAAGCAACTTATGAGCAGGTAAAGTTTGTAATGGTGCAGTAGAGTGGGGGCTTCGTGATCGCATACGTGGAATCGAGTCGTGGTGGTTCAGTGGGAAGGTTCGACGTTCGACGACTCGATCCATCGTATGCTTTACAGCTCACCACCAAGCCTCCACCCTGTGCACCATTACAAACTTTACCTGCTCATAAGTTGCTTGTGAAATGCAGGTTGCAGTTTTGCTATCTATATTTGTATAACCTTATAGACTCTATCGATCTACCCAGGTCTCCATTCAAAGTTCCATGGTAATTTGGCGGACATCCCTGGTAAGACTCAAACGATACAGCGCGACAGTGCTGCATTGTTACAAGCCAATCGTTAGGAAGTACTGTACGTGTTTACATACGGCACAGCGACTTATGCTGTAGATTTACATTTTTACAACAGAACAGATCAGGATCTCCAATATGGGACATATTTGGTGGCTGATGGTCGCTGGAGGTGACGAAAGTCGTATTCGCTGAAAAATTTCTTTTTGACTTGTCGTTCCCATTTCGCGCGAGCTATGTACCACTGACCCCCCCCCCTTCCTGCGCCGCGGTGCCGCAAAACTACTGTCACTAAGGGCTGATCGTCGGGGCTGTCTACGGCACCCCTTTCACCTAACAGCAAGGGTTTGGGGGTTCGATGGGTGGTCATTGTAGGGAGGATGTAGAGTGAGATCGCGCCGGAGGAGATTTGTGAGGGGGGGGGTCGCATTTAGCAAAAATCCTCCCAAAATCCGGGACTTCACAAAGCGAAGTCGATTATGTGCATGCCACTCTCCCTCTGAATTATATTAGCACCCAGAGCACGCGCTTCCCGTGCTATTGCTTGAAGGCATTCAGGAGAAACCGACCATGACACTATCACAAACAGGGTATAGCATCGTGATGCGGGAGGATGTCAGTACGACCCCTCCTTCCTCAACACCTTCCTACCAATTCCAACATTTTCCAACCTTTTTTACCCAAAAATTTTGCTGTCGAGCGAAGGGGAGGAGGGTAGTACACATAAACAGGAAGAAACACCACGTCGAAAAGTCAAAGTTCAACAAGTGGACGAATTTATGCGGTCAAATTTCACTGTCGTTCACACATGACCGTCGCCCCTCTCCGAACGAACAGATACGACCCCCCTGCCAGCGAGAAAGCATAAAAAAAAAATAAAAAATATCGGACCGCCTAAGCCTTTAATCAGATGGCTGTACCCTGCTCACAAATACCATCGTCAAGACATCTATGAGGATGATTTCTGTCGTAAACCCCATTCGGTGCCCACGTAAAATGTATGCATAACGGTACACCGTAGGATATGATGTAAGAAAGTTTTCTTAATAGAACTTACTAGCAATGTCTCTATAAGATCCTTTCGAGGACGAAGTTTTAGGAGCGGGAGGCTGAGTCGAATTGAGCACATGCCCCCACGAGTCTCGTAAGAACATACACCAGCGCATCTGAATAGCTACACTTACTTGGAGGTTCTTCTAGAATAGAAGGAGCTACGAACTCACGCGAACATCCGCGGACTCCATTTTACCTCACATCGGCCTAAAGCGCCTTCGAAGAACCGGTCGTTGAAATCGATGAAAAGAAGATGGATGTCAGGACAAGGGTCCGAAAGTTCGAGAGCAGGATCTACCAAATCATATAGCATTGGAAACGCTTCCCAGCGTTGTGGTGTACTTCTCTAAGAACGATACCTGCAAGCACAACAATTGCGCTTTCTTGGAGTTACGATCAAGCTAAGAAGAGAAACACAATCTCTCACGCTACCGCACAAAACAGAATTATCGGAAAGCTGCTTTATATTCTACCATGAACTCTCTACGTGGTGCAATGATTGGTCGGATTACAAGGGGTTTTTACCGCTGTGAGCTTCGGGTACTTACTTACGCTGGACGGCATTCACTGCTGACAGGTGCGAAGGAATGACTGTGAATGCTATTGCAGTCCAGGGGGTCGGAGCCGGGCGGGGGTGCTACATGCCGCGCCTCTTTTCCCCTCCCCATCCCTAATGCTTATATTGGGCTGGTTCCACGTGCAAGTGCTCCACTCATTGAGCTGCTCCAGCATATTACGGGGTATTACACGCGGCACATCCAAAAATGTAGAAGTAAGCAACCAGACCACTTTAACGGTCTGATTTGCTCGGCTCCACAATCGGCAAGTATTATACCTATCACCGGCGCTTAATCTATGAGCTGTACATTCCTTACATACACTGCTTCGCGCTTGGATATGAAAAACAGTTCGCAAGGATGAGCCAAAAGGATCTGCGCGACTCAAGGAAACGAGGAGAAAAGCAACCGCGTGGAATTGTGCGCAATGTGTGCAATGCAGAACTCGCAGATAGACGTCTAGCTGGAATTTTTTTGAATTTTTTTCCCATTCGCACAAGACGTCAGAAATTGTGCTTGTGCTCGACATGGTGATACTTCAGCACTTCTTTGTTACCTGGACGTAAAGTCCGTCACATCATTATGGCTGCTAACTCTTCGAAATCGCTTGAGAATCACGCGATTCTCGGGACGGCCAAGTTGCGGCAGGCGCTTACCAAAACTCGTAAAGTGAATACTCTTATGAACGCAGTGAAGAGATTTCAAGATGATAATGGCATCAAGGTAGGTGTGTTCAACTAAACAACAAGCTGAGAGCTATTTCTATCGTTTTTTATTTCATTCAGATGGATGCGCTTGCACCTGCTCTGCAGCTATTAGATCTACATAAGATTAGGCGACGAGATTTTTACGAGCAGGTATGATATCTTCTAGCGGTCTTTTCTTTTCCATTACAGAGAGTAATTTGCAGCAGTATTTCTCAGCTTCTCCCTTGCTGAACTCTATTGTTTTGTTCGCTGATGATCGGGCGTGTCAAGAGGGAGGGGTTTGGCAGAGCGCCTACCCGCTTTTTCTCTTTTTCTTCAAGTTCCGAGACTAGTATATCCTATTGTACGTATCAGTCGTCAATTGTTGTCGCCTACCCGCTTCTATAATTGGTCAAGAACGGGCTGGGCGACGCGCTAAACCCAGCCTCGCTGACGCGCACATTTATCCACAGCGAACAACCGTCGTAAATTTGACATCAATGCGGACCTTAGTCAATAGCAAACTTCTATATCGAATAGGAAAGAATCACGAACGTTGTGATTCTGATTGATGTCCGCATGTGACGGGAAGGTGGAAACCTCACCTTTGAGGGCGACCGTCACGGCGATAAATCAGGCCGTTGAATAAAATGTTCTAGGTAAAAATCTCGAGAGGCTCATACAGTCCTCATCATTGCGGACCGGTAGAGCGTGTGAGTGCGGCTGCGTTTG